ATATAATTGTGTGTCAAGTTGACAAGGGTGCAATTGTGAGAGATATTTTTGTTTGTCAAATTTATTACATCTGAAATTCATTAAAACCCCAAAATGGAGGGGCATGCCTGTGAGGTATTTTTGCTTAATTTGAAGAGAGAAGATCCACATGTAATCCTCATCTTTGCATTAGAAAGACATTCCGTTAAGCTGGATATTGATGAGGAAAGAAACACCTATTACTCAGATGTTTTGAGCTCCAAAACCCCACTTGTAATCTCAGCCAGGCCTTGGGCTGGAAGTCCATATAAAGAAGTGGAAGAAGGGAGTTTTGCTCTTTAGCTGCTTGCTCTCACCTTGCTAGCAATTCCATTCCTTCACTGGCATTGGAAACAACTGCTTTGGGATTCCAGACTATACTGCTGATGGGCTGAGACATCAAGCATAGAGGACTAAGCAAGTACTGGATTTGAGGACTTTGCCATTATAGCCAACCAATGTTCAATTAGCTGGACCACAGCATCTAAATCATTCTAAAACATAGCCTTTTGTATATATAGAAATTCATTCCGTTACCCCATGAAATCATGACCAATGAACCAGACAGGTATAGAATTTTTAGAGTAGTTTGGGCCTGACAATAGCTCTGAGTCCCATGGCTGGGAAATCCTTGTGCAGCTCAAGATTCCTGAAACTTACTGAGATACATCAAAGCCTGTGAGTTCAGGGTTTACAGGAGCGTGAAACCTCACCTGCCTAAAGAAGAGTCTCAGAGTGAAGTTTGAAATTGCATTTTATTCATAAAAATACATTCATTTTACTCAATGGGGGCTTTCAAAACAGCAGTCCTTATATATAATGTAACACCTTAGCAAACTATTAAAACAATGACTAGAATATAAGAAATAACAAAAATTAACAACACCTTAAACCAAAATGAAGAAAACCAAAATCCAAAGCATAAATATCCCAACATATAAACAAAAAAATTAAGCAAATTTCAGGATCACTTGGAATTTCATTAGGGGAGAGCAAATGAGGTGATGAACTAGCTTATTCTCTACAGTGAATTATCTTCAGCAAAAGTTGCACATGACATACCTTCAAGTCAGCTTGCACTAGTCAGCTTCAGCACTGCACTGGAGAGAATCTTATGCTTTTGGATGTGGTCTGTCTGGATGGCAGTGTGATGTTAACACAGTCTTCCTTGTCAGATTTCCCATCACATATGGAGTCAGCTTGTCAAAGCCCTTGATAGGAAGCTGACAGAAGAACTCTTGCTCATCCATATGTCCTCTTCCATGTTGTTTTGCCCCTCACTGCAGCCATGTGCTGATGGATGTCAGGGTTCTTAGTAATTTGTGTTGTGTCCTCTGAATCTCAGACTATTTGTGATACAATCTTTTCTCTGGGCATAGTGAGCCACAGATGTGGATCAGATTGTGGCTGGATTGCCTGATGGTAGGTTGATATTTGCCTCACTAGTGAGTTCACAGCTGAAAAGACGTGGCATATTCTGAGGAGGCCGTGAACCTGGAGTGTAGAATATCATGCCTTCAAGGTGTCTCTGGCTTCTTCCAGCCTTCTCAGTTTTCTGAAGAGGTGCTGTTAGGGAAAATCAGCAAAGAAAATAGGATTCAGAATCAGTTTTGCTGTGCCACTGTCAAGAACAATCATGGCCTATTCATCCCTAGTAAACGAAAGTTAAGGAAGAAAACACACCCCATTAACAAACTTGCTGCTGGGGATGGGGCTCAATGGTGGCTTACTTGCCTGGAACATAGCTTTTCTGCACCAGCAGCTCCTTCTACAGGAGGCTCTCTTCCTGGGCTGTGGTCTGCTCCAGTTCCTCCTGGAGATTTTCAAACCTAGGGGAGGAAGGCAGCTGGGGCACAAGCCTGGTGGGGACCTGCCATGTCAGGTTTGATCCCCCACCAGCTCTACTCAGCTAGACAATCGAATATTACCTTTCAGCTGAGTTCATTCCCTGCTTCCCCAAGGGAAAAGGGTCCGAGAGCACCTGGGCAGGATTTTTTTCTCAGCTTTTAAAAACTGCTAGAAGTTGAACTGGTAAGTACATACTGTGATGGATTAGAAAAAAAACAGCATATTTCTTCAACAGTCCAAAGACATCATTTTGGAGAAATATCAGTATGTTAAAGTCTTAGGCACAGTTCAGGAAAGATATCCCTGGCCTTGATTAGATACCAGGTGAATGTGATCCTCCTGGAAAACTCTATGCCTGCCCTTTAGTGGAGCCTACACAGCAATGCAAAGAAGGCTCTGCTTATTCCTGCAGTTTAGAACCCTGCATGGGATTAACTTGTCAGCTCCTACTCTGTTTATGACCAAGAGTAAATCTTCTCATGAGAAACTGATAAACACTGCAGAGAGCCTGCAGTCAGCAGGAGTGTGCTGTATGCAAATCTGCAAAGGGTGGACACTTCTCTCTAAACGTGATGTTCCTAATGGAAAAGATGCCGGGGACACACTTTCCTTCATGATCAATGATCCTCTTTCTAGGTTTTGGGCTGCTATGGGAATATTTTTGGGAGATCTAATCTAAGAGATGAGATACTAGAGCATACTCGAGGTCTCAGAAAGGAAGAGGAGGACACAGTCCCCAGAAGACCAGGGAGAGAGCATATTGCTTCATGTTGACTGAGCCAACAATGACACTCTGAGGCATTCTTTCCCTGCCCGTGGCTGGCAGCTTTGCCAATTGACAAAACTCAAAGAGGACGGAGATCCAGGTACAGGGGACCCACTTGGATCCACCTGCTTCTGGAAGCCCAGGCTCCTACCTCATCTGGGACACAGTGAAGTGATGCTGCAGCTTTAATGCCAAGTCCCTTTGCCGGGTGAACAGCTCCTTCTGCTTCATTAGGGACTGAAGTTTTTCCTTAAGGCTTTGATGTTCCTGTTCATTAGAAGATTGTTTTATAGGGGAGGTTTCCACACCATGTACATAAACATTCTCCTCTCTCTCTCTCTCTCTCTCTCTCTCTCTCTCTCTCTCTCTCTCTCTCTCTCTCTCTCTAGCACACACATATATATGCATGTGCACATACAAGCACACTACATTCTATCCACACTTAGTTTCCCAGATAATTCCTATGTAAGAAGACATCACCTGGGATACTATGCAGAACAAAGTTACCTTTCATTAACCTACACCCTCTCTACCCATATTCCTGCCTGGAGGCAGGAAACACAGGATGCTCTGAGCAGAGGGATGTGGAGAATATTGTGTACTTTTACTCGGGTTTTGATGATTTTTCAGTTTATATTTAGTTTATATGTGCAGGTGTTCAGCCTGCTTGTGTGTCTGTATAACACATGCATGCCTATTGATCTGGGAGAAGAACTCAGTGGGCAGATAAGTGAATGTAGTGCTTGCCTTGAAATCCTGTACACACACAGGTGAACACCAGGGTTCCTTGATCTGTAATCTAAGCTCTCCTAGCAAGTTCCCCAGTCTGTGCATTGAAGGCTTAGTTCCCCAGCACAGGACCACTGGATGGCAGTGGACCAGGCCCTTGCTCTCACTCAGTGCTTCCCAGTGCCTCCAAGGAGAGCAGTTTCCTCCTAAAGAAGGTCTCTATACCACAGGTTGCCTCCAATTAGGCCCAAAGGAATGAGCTCAGAAAACTAGAAAATCTCTACAATCCAGAGTCTATTTTAAACTTTCCTCCAAGTAAGTTGATTGTGTCAGGGATTTCTTTGAGTAACAGAAGTTTGACTAACTCATGGTAAAATGACTGCATATACTATTCCATACTTAACAATATCCCATGGACCACATTGTATGTTTGCACTCCTCAGTGATGGGTATCTGAATAGTTTGTAGTTGGGCTATTCTGATGAGTTCTGCTGTATCCCTGTGGTTCAATATTCTCTGTGGACACCACTATCCATTCTGGAATCAATGCTCCACCCAAAGTCTGCATTTCTCCTTTCTGAATAATTGCACATAGCTTCTCACAGGGCTGCACCATTTTACACTACTAGCAATGTCTGAGAGTTCTCATTTCTCCCAACTCTCCATCAGGCTGAATTTAACTCAGTATGAAGAAGTTTGGAATAAAAGCAGTTTCTGAGTGCTGCAGACACAACATGGAGTGGGTACTTGAAAGTATGATGAGCCTAAGCGGTGCCCTGAGACAGCCTCTCCTCACACCTCAGCATAGCTGTGGGACTTTTGCTGGGCTGGGATGCAGCCACATGCCCCTCTGCAGTTCAGAATTTCTCTGAGAATAAAGTTCAGGCCAAGCTCCAAGGGCAAGGTTAGCTGATCCAAGGTTAGGCAAAGGTGAAAGGAAAATGGCAGCAAGCAATGTGGAGAAAAACAAAACAGGATGCAGGGAAGTCATCAGTCGCCAGCCTCCTTTCACCCAGAGCAGAGAGGGACACAAACCTTTCTGGCCTTTCCTGCCTCTCAGTAGCCTCTCTCTCACCTTCATGGACCCCATTACTTTGTTTTTCTCCAGAGGATTTCTTTGCAGATAAATAATTCTGCCTCTACA